CAAGCATTACAGGTTGGTGTCAGACACCGTGTCCCCAGCTTGGTGGTTCTCAAAAGTGCCTTCGCAGCCGATGATCTTGAGTAACATATTGAGAGCCTTTCTCTGACTCAGTGGTTCCCAAATCAAGGTCCCAGGGACCACAGGGATTACCAGGAAGCTTGTTAGATACAACAACCCCAAGCAGGCCTTTCCCCGGGGACAGGCGGGGCTCCACAGGTGGGAACTGCAGCCAGCACCTGTGAACTTCCAATTCAGGTGGCCACTCAGTCTGGAGGAGGAGGAGGAGGAGGGCTTCACCCTGCTGGGCACAATCAGGAACAAACTGAAATGAGAGCCAACAGGAAGGTGCCCTCAGAGGAACCCAGGAAGGGCAGAGTCGTGTGTCTAGTGTCCACTGCACCTGCTGGAAACTGCCTGCTCCCCGGCCTCCTGAGCAGCTTCGGGGGCCTTTTAGTGATAATAATCACAAGTAAATTACAGCCAGGAGCCCATTAACCATTAGGCCTAACAAAGTGCCTTTTCAAAATAATGGAAATGGACTGCAAATTTTCCAGCCCAGTGAAGGAGACAGCTTTACTTTTTTTTTTTTTCATCCAATTTTGAAGAAGTTAGAAAAGCTAAAAAAATAAGGCCCTAAAGTTAACACAAGCACTTTGGCAGCAAGAATCCTAAGGAGGAAGTTGTATTTTGCAGGGCACCAAGCAGGTGGTCCTGGGAAAGCCCTCTGCGGGGAGCGCCTGGCCCTCAGCTGAGTGTCTTTATGCCAATTGAAGCTGCTGGCACAAGCTGCTCCCGTTCTGCTCTTGCAAGGGGTTACCAGCAGCACATTCAAAGCATAGTTCAGGCTCAATATTTAAAGAGTGGCAGCAAGAGAACCACTGAGACTAGCAGAGGGAACGGGTAGCATCCCTCTCCTTCCCTCCTGCCCTCCTCCACCTGCAGGAGAACCCCTAGAAAGGCCTCATGGTGCCTTCCAGGTGACAGAGTCTTGGGTGGGCTCCGAGGAATGGAGTGTTTCAGGTCTGGGTTTATAGACTGCACAGCAAAACCAGCAACTGGGAAGTGAGAAT